GTTGCCTCAAATTAAGGAGCGTATAGACGACTTTTGTTATTTCTGGTCACTTAGACAAAATTGGCTCGGCATGATTTTCTCTTAAGTGTATCAATACAACCAAGCATTCTTACACAATTTGCATCCGTAAAAGTCATGTCGACTTAGATAGCGCTACAGTTGATATAGCTGCATGAATTTGGTAGTCAATTCATCGGCTCAAGCTCAGCTCACCAGCTTGTTTACAACTGCAAGTTATCTCTGGTCCGAAGATGCAGCGCTTTCATTGGGAAATGTCGGGAAGTCTGAACTGTCCTTGGGTCATACGAGTGCTTCGGACAGCCAGACAAACAACCATTACCTATCTCTCATCAACTACGCTGCTGTCCTTTTCGTGTATGTTCTCACTACACTGTTATCTACTCTGGGAAATCTCATCGTTCTAATCATCTTTATATGTCGTCCTGCTCGCTTTGAACAAGCCAAACGACCCACTTCCTCCACAAACCAAAGTGTGTTTTCTGGCTCTTTTTACCGGCCCACACAGCAGCCAATCCATCCGGAGAATGGGCATTTTGGATCTAGAAAGTTGGCGTTAGAAACGAACTTAGCATGCCCACAGTACGCTCGTGGATCTTCTAGAATGAGGAGTGGCTGCCTGCCGGCCGAAGATGGCAGCAGTTTTGCTGACGCCAGCAGAAGTATAGACCTGATGAAAGCAGCAGACAGAGAAGTCGACTCGATTGAAGCGGCCAATGTGGATACGAGAGAATACCATGAAGTAAAGGAAGAAGAAGTCGATGGGACTCTGTCGGATGTAGGAGCACAACTGACGACGGCAACCTCGTCATCTCGGCGTAAACAGCTCAAGATACAGAAGTCAATGCTGCAACCGAAGGCACGGAAGTCACGCTCAACTGACGCTCGAGTAGATGGAAGTTACGACTTCACCAGATTATCATCTCGTCTGCGACTGCCTCACTCTTTCACCGGACCACGCAAAACACGTCTTAAGGCCCAGCGACTAGGGCCCAGATTAAGCGATACCGGACAGAATTGTGTCTCCAATACGAGTCTATGCCAGACATCTGAAGAGGCAGTGTCAATGCACATCGAGGCCAAGAATCGGCCGTTTTTAGCATTTGTAGCCTCAGAAAGAAAGCCCAACACAAGTGAACTTTCCGATTCTCTACCAATTCGTCTTTC